TTGCTATTTCCTTCAAAGCAGCTTGAACTTCTTCCTTCATCACCATAGGCTCTTGCTCATATGTTATTTCTTTAAATTCCTCTGTATCTGCCAATTCCTCTGAAAACTGTCTGGGGGATTCGCTGAGTTAGTTCTGACTCAATGGCAATGAATGAATGAGTGATGTAAGTTGGCAAGAGGTGTGGTGGCATAATATGCTAAATCTACCAACCATGCCACAGAAGAAAGATAGGCTGTTTCCTCCTGCAAAGAATTACAGCTTTGGAAATTCATTGGAAGGTTGTGCAGATTCGGAACCACTTGGTTTCTAACCTGGAGAGTGGTTTCTTGAACCTGACATCTGCTGTGCGGGGCAGTCTGAGGTAATCTGCAAATCCATATAGATTTACAATCTTGGCAGCCCTGTGTGATGGCTTCACTCTGACCAGCTGTTGCATGGGGCAGTCTGGGAGGGTCTGCATTCCCACAGACTTACAACCTTGGAAACTCTGTGGGACAGTTTTACTGTGACCAGCTGCTGCGCAGGGCAGTCTGAGGCAGTCTGCACCCCTACAGAGTTACAACCTTGGCAATCCTGTGGAACGGTTTCACTCTGTTTTTAGGGTCGATAGTTTAAGTAGATTCTGTAGCAGTGGGTTTGGTTTGATACATATAAAGAAGGAATTATTAAAATATTTTTAAATGAGTTGAGGAAAGTTTAAAACCTTGCGATAGTCCATGTTGTTGTTGTGTACCATTGCATCGGAACCGGCCCATAGCTGACCCTCCAGCGGGTTTTCAGCAGCAGTTAATTGTGCGGGAGGAGATTGGCAGCTGGTGGATTCAAACCATGTGCTTAGGGATTGCAGTGCAGCTTCTTGCCACTAGGCCACACTGAAACCAGACCATAATACTCTTAAAATAGTGATTCCTAAAAGTGAGGAAAATAGTTTCCTGATTCATCAACAGAAAGGGAAAGGTTAGGAAGAAGGTCACTTTCTTATAGTGGGGGACAGGGTGATAGGTGGGAAAAAATTCCAGTGGAATACGTGTTGAACAGAGGTCATTGTCATTTTAGAGTGGACAGAGTTCAGACGATAAAAAGAAGCTGAGTCGTTGTAAAAGTAAATTACTGGCTTTCCTCCATTGTGGCTGGAATTGTCTCTCTAGGTTAGAGTCATGGATACAAGTTAGAGTGGGAGATAAACCGTGTCTTCGGCTCTCAGACATGTAATCCACCCACACATCACAGGCATCACAGACTCAGAGTGGCCCTCCCTCAGCGTCTGAGACTGTCAATCTGAACAGAGGCAGACTGCCTGCTCCTTCTCTTATGGAGCAGCTGGCAAGTCTGAGTCACTGACTTTGGGTTAGCAGCTCAACACGTAACTCACTGGTCCACCAAGGTTCCTTCAGAGAGTGTTTGGTCCATGAAATCTAATAACAATGAGACCTAGTGTCTAGATTTACTTTTGTTTTTTTCGTCATTATTTCCAGGCTTCAGTAAAGTATTTTTCATTCCCAGATTCCTCTTCTGAGCCTTGGGGGATTCAGGAAGTGGTTCTACCCATGAGGACGCAGTGCGCGGAACATGCAGATGTAAGTAGGTAAGCCTTGGAGTGACCTAGCAGGCTGGTAGACTGAGAAACCAATATGAGAGCGTATTTTGGCATTTCTAGACAAAGGCCCCAAGTTACACACTGGAATGCCCACCCTCAGCAGAAAGAAGCATTTTAACCAATTGTTATAAGGGAGCTCTGGTGGCTCAGTGGTAAGGAGCCGTGCTGCCAACCCAAAGGCATGGGGTTTGAATCCACCAGCTGCTCTGTGGGAGAACTACGAGCAGTCTCCTCCTGTGTGATTTACTGCCTCTGTAAAGTTGCTGGTAGGTCAACTATGAGTTGGTTCTGACTTGATGGCACATAACAACAACAAGGACAATTTGGGCATTCAAGGTGGTCTGTGTCTTGACAGACGAGAGACTAGAGGTTATCAAGTTTCACTTACTCTTTTGGAAATACCATCCATCCAAGTTCGAACATACGGCATCCACTTCAGTTCCTCAGGATCGACAAACACCATTCCACATCGACTCACTGTTGCAGGGGAGGCAACCTTTAGATCTTGTACCTAAAATGGAGGGAAGGGGAACAGAAACAGCTGACATGGTTTTTTTCTTATTCTAGCATTAATGAATTACAATTTTAAAGTTTCTACTAACATTGAAAGGTTTTCTGTGGAAGAGAATGGCAGAACTCTAAGTAATAGAATGGACAAGGATAGAGAACTGAGGCAGAAGGTGGAAAGTAAAGATGAGTATTGAAGCATATTGTGAAATATTTTAGGGGTAAACAATGTTTCTGTTTTCTTTTCTCTCATTTTTTGTTCATTATTGTCTAGCTTAAAACACAGCTAGCTTAACATAGTAGGAAGTCAACTGATGCTTGAGCAGTGAATGGAGGAACAAAGAATATCTCCATTTTGCTCTGCATCTGTATTTAGTCCACATTTCCCTTTCAAATCCTTTATCAAATGTTTAAACTACAATGGACAAATTTAATTATTATTACTATGACAATATAGTTTTCTCCTTGGAAACCATTTCAAATTATGTAAAAGTACATATGTAAACAACATACCCTATTAGCTTTATAGATAATAAATGATAATTCGGTGTGAGGAAAACAATTTAAGGATGCTGTGCTAATTCAACATATTAATTTTTTTACTCCATAGTAAAGCCTATATTTACCTCAAAGAGCATGTGGATTTGAGGCGTGAGTTTAATCCTTTCACCATTAGCCAAGCAGAGCATCTTGTTATCATCCAACACTGTATTCATATTTTCAATCCACAGAGCATCCACTGGCCCATCACTGATAATCCATTTATGGTTTTCTGAAGTATCATTCACAGCATTTCGGACACTGAGTGCCATCAAGCCATCCTTCCATTCCAAGGTTATGGGATTAACTTCACCATACAATTCACCCATTGTAATTGATTTAGGATTAAGAACATATGTTTTTACTGGTTGGTAGAATGGGTTGTCTAGTCCATGTTTTTGTAAATCCCCTAAAGTTTCTGCCAGTACTTGGTAAACTGTGGTCTTTCCACCTCCTGTTGGCCCAACTAGCATTACACCATGCCTTACTAACATGGTCTCATAGAACTGTATCACCTTTTTAACCATACAGAGCTCAGGTTGAAGACTTTTTCTAGTCATGACTTCTATAATTGTTGACTGCAAAATACCATAATCATGCTCCGGAATTTGGATTCCAGGAAAAAGGTCAGATATGATCCCACTGACAAAAGAGAAACAAAATCAATTAAGAATCACTTGTCAATGATAATTCCCTATATTTGTTGGAATTACTTGATTAAGAATTATAACCATCCAAAAATTATAACTACATAGCATGTACGAGTAAAGATTTTGAAAATTACTACCTAACTTGGGAGGGAATAGAGTGCATTTTGCTAAGTGAACTAAGTCTCATTAAGACAAATACTGTGTAATACTATTACTGTAGAAAAAGATTACTAGTAAAATGTACATGAGGACCTAAGGTGGGGAGGGTGGGAGCAGAAGGGTGGGGGATGGTAATCATAGGTTTGCAGAATTCATAAGTAGAGGGAGGGAAAAGTAAGGAAAATAGGAAGGATCTGGCATGAAAAAAATGTATATGAACTTTGTAAGTAAACCAGTATAATATAAAAATTTTATTAAAAAATTATAATTGTTGTTGTTAGGTGCCATTGAGTTGAGTATGACTCATAGCAACACTATGAACAAAAGATCTGAACTGTCTTCTCTCCTGCACCATCCTCACACTTCCTGACACATAAGAGTCCATTGCAGCACTCACCATATCGATTCGTTTGGTTGAGGGTGTTCCCCTCCCTCACCCACCCTCCACCCTTCCCAACATCTTGTCCCTCTCCAAGGAATAGCCCCTCCTAGCAACATATCCAAAGTATATGAGGCTAAGGCTCATCATTCTTGCCTTCAAAGAGCACTCGGTCTGTACCCTCTCCAAGACATATCTATTTGTTTTCTCTGACATCCATGGGATGTTCGTGCTCTTCTCCAACACCACAGCTCAAAGGCATCTATTCTTTTTCTGTTATCCTTATTCACTGTCCAGCTCTCAGATACATAGCTAGTAATCAGAAAGACAATGGCCTGAATCAGACGCACCTCAGTCTTCAAACTGGCATCACTACTCTTTAAAATAATTTGGAATGGTCCCTAACTGTAGATTTTCCCAGTGCAATGCATCTCCTTATTTCCTGGCTGCTGGTACCAAAGGAGTAAATTATGGATGCAAGCAAGATGAAGCTGTTGGCAGTTTCAATCTCCTCTCCATCCATCATGATGCTGCCTATCGGTCCAGTGGTAAGAATCCTTGTTTTCCTTACATTGAAATGCAATCCATACCGAAGGCTGCATTCCTTAATCTTCCACAAGAGCTTCAAGCTCTCTTCAGCAAGCAAGGTTGTGTCGTCTCAGCACTGTGTGCTGATGAAATATTTTTCTGTTTACATATATGATATTTTTTCTTTCTGCACACTAGATCAATGTTTCTAAGTATATAAAGAGCTTTTTTTTATTTACAAAATTCAAGAGCTATTTTTTAAAAATAATTTTTTA